AAATCTTAAACAACAAGGAGTGGTAGCCCATGTCTGTAATCCTAGCACTCAACATGCTGAGGCTGGAAGATCACAAGTCCAGGCAGGTTTGGGCTCCGTCAGAGACCTTGTTTCAAACAAACAAAAAATTAAACGCCTAGCAGTGGCACAGGCTGCTTGAAGCAGCACGGTAGGTCCTGAGGTAACCTGTAGACCACCGCAACAGCAGCCTACTGAAGAAAAGAAAAGCAGGGGCATAGGATACCTGCCACCCCACACAAGTGAAGTCTTACCAAATCCCTGGCCCCTCCTTCATTTCCCTCCTTGGCTGCACTGCAGCACAGTGCAGAGCAGTTTCAAGCCAGCCAAGCTAAGTGGAAACTGCAGACATTCTTCTTGCCCTCCCCCTGCAGTGTAACACTGAGGAAGGAGAGGGAATGAGTAGAATGCTTTGGCCACCAGGTGTAGACATGGCTGTAATTCTCCCCAGTCTGAGGTTACACAACCCCCACAGATCTGCCTTCCCCACTGCAGCTAGTGGCAGAAGTTTCCCAGCTGCGCATGCTTACCCAGCCTCCTGCACTGCAGCACTTTGGGAGGGGGTTGCTTGTGGGATGGGGAGTCATCCACTCTAGGCCAGCTCCTGTCTGCACCACTGTGCTTTGGAGAAGGAGTGGCTGAATTTCCAGCAGGGCCTCAGCAGACACCCACAGCTTGCCCTTGCCCCGTCTCCATTGTGAGAGGGGGCGATGGCCCTCTACCCGGCAGTGTTTCTGCAGACTGGCACATCTGCATAGGCAGCCACCTTTGGGGAATCACACAATGGTGCTGATGAAGACTGGCACCACACTGCATTCTCGAGATACATTTCAAGTCTTGCTTCCTAACCCTAGAAAATGCCATGAAAAGAAAAAGACCTTCCATTGTAGCTTCACCTCCCACAACTGTCAGGGGATTCCTACATACAAGTTTTACATACCTTTCCCTATGTTATACAATAATAGCCACCACAGTGAGTGAGTGTAAGACAAGGGTAAAATATACAAGAAAACAGACCCAAACACTTTCGCACATTCATCCGCATAATGAGAATGGGTTAGATTTTTTAAAAAGCACGATCACAATATGGGACCACAGCAAGCCCACAGAAAAGTTATCATTACCTTAAGATAAAATCTCTACTTCTGCCTGCTGCATCCTCGTTCTCACCCCTCCGGCTCCACACCACAGTGGTAATTCTGCTGACCCTCCCACTTGCTTCAGACACCCAAGTGATCCTCAAATTACCCAAAGCCCCCTTCATAATGTACCTTCCTCATCACCCTCTCACAATACATCACATGGAACAGTGCCTGCACTGTGACCACCACTGCCATAACACATATACCTCCAATCAACCCTCTCCCACTCATCTCAGAAATACTTACATCCACAAAACACCCAATCTATCATTTACCCCTCAATCCCCTCTACCCTCTTACCTCTCACCCTGCTCTCACCCACAAATATCCACTGAATCATCATTCAAGCATCCTAGTAGCAATCATTGTGTCAACCCGCCCCACCCAGTGCTATGCAGAAACCCTAACGCACCCTCTTTCCTGGCCAGCAGCTAGGCATACTACCCTATGACTAGCATAATCACGCATCTTTCCTTAAAGCTGCACTGAGGTCGCACCGCCTCCTCCCACACATCTCCACGAACCATCCACAGTTAACAGCCTCAGATTTGAAGGACAAACGTCCACCCACAAAAAGACCCCTCATGACTTGACAGGACTGTGGCAGAGGTGTCAGGCACACTATTGCCATAACACAGGGCGGAACGGCTGAGTCCCAAGCCAGCAAGTCCGGTTCTGCGGAACCAGCAACTTTAATTCCCAAAAGGTTCCCAGGTTATATAAACTCCAAGTCCTATAAACTTCAAATACCTGTTAAGCAAAAAGGAACGTTCCCAAGGCTCAGAGCAGTCACTGGAGCTGCTTACTTTACTCGCTCCATCGCCTGGATGACCATTCCGTAGGCTGACGCATCAGGCGTGTCCAGCGGTTTCTCCTCTCTGCAAAGGACTTGCCAGGCTGCAGGCTGCCCCCGCCCCTCCGATGCAGGCACGCTAGTCCACCCCCTCAGTCTGCACATGCGCACTGATTTGCCACATTGCAGGGGGCCCTGCAACCAATAAGAATGGAAAAAGGCCACTGACATTGAAATATTCATAGTATGTATGACTGGAAGGGGAATCCTTTTCATGATAAAATTAAATATTTAGCAGCAGAAATCCAGAGGACTACATCTTGAAAGACTAAATGAACTTGTAGGAGAGGAGAGGTGAATTAGGGATGAAGGTGAAGGAATACTGTTGGTGGGTTTCTTATATGTATACAGAATAGAACAATGAAGCATCTTGCAATTGCTTTAAGTAGGGTGGAGGGGGTTGAGGGGGGCGATGGTGGGGTGGTGATCTATCCAGTGTACAAGTAAGCCCATTTGAAAGTATCATACTAAATCCCCCCATACAACAAATATATTCTGAAAAATGAAGGGGAAAATAGCCTGAATGAGGGGCTGAGTATTCAGCTCGGTTTTAGGGCACTTGCCTAGCGTGCAAAAAGCCCTGGGAACAATTCCCAGCACCAAAAAACAAAACAATTAAAATAAACCCACAAAACATGAAAAATTTTATGTAAGATTCTATTTTTTGCACCTAACATTTTACATCATATTGTGTTCAATGCAAAAGGTATTTTTTCATGGCACATTAAAATTACTCCATATAACAACCATGTCAGTATTCATTGATTTATTTGCAGAGCTAGGAATGAGTCAAGGTCTTCAGCATGTAAGGCATCACTTTACCACAGAGCTTTATTCTCAGCCATTTTTATTTCACTTTAAGATGATCTCACTAAGTAGTCCAGACAGGCACCCAGTGAAGACAATTCTGCCTCTAGAAATACTTCATATTCTACCCTTCAACTCTTCCCTAAGACTTCAGATTGACACCCCAACTGTAGTGGTTGGATTTATCAGACTTCCAGCACCAAGTGAGCCATTTGCCAATTTCTTAAAATCAATCTCTCTCTCTCTCTTTCTTTCCCTCACATATATACACATTCTCTCTCTCCCTCTTCCTCTCACCCCATGGGCTTTTCAGAAAACATTTCCTGAACTCTAATGTACAATGCAAGTCAATTAGCAATTTCTTAAAGTCTCTCTCTCATACACACCCACTCCCTTTCCCTTCCCCACAGGTTCTTTAGAAAAATACACTTCCTGAACTCTTCCCTAGCCTCATGGTCTACTTAATAAAGGTGTCTGATACTCCTAGTAGGAAAAGCAGATTATTACTTTCCTTCCCACATTTTTTCCTGCAAGCTATGTTAGGAATGGTGAAAAAAAAATAAAATTCTAAACCAAAACCTTGAAAATGTCTGGTATATGATCTAGCACTGAGTTATACACCATCCCTGTAACAACATTTTTAGAATGCATGTTAAATACATAAGCCTAAGGAAATGACACCTCACATTGGTTTGTTTTTGAAAGGGTTTCAGAAACATTCAGTGGTTCTGGGAAAACTGGCTATACCTTCAGAAAGAATGAAGTTGCATCTTCTACTTACATCAGATACAAAACTTAACTCGGAATGTACCATATACCTAAATGTTACAGCTAAAACAGTAAAGCTATTATGAGAAAAGGCTTTTAAACTTTGGATTTTGAAATGATCTTTTGGATATGTCACCAAAACCTAAGGAAAGAGAAAAATAGATAAACTGGAATATATCAAAATTAAGACTTCCTGGGCACAATTCAACAGAGGGATGGGGAAAACAGAGAATGGGAGAAAGTGTTTGCAAATTGCATATCTCAAAATGGGTTAATATTCCAAATGAAGGAAAGCATGCAATTCAAAATTATTAATAAAACAATCTGCTGGTGACCCAAACTAGTAGTTACAGTTACTTGAGAGGTTAAGGCAAAGAGATTGCTTGAGCCCAGAAGTTGTTGATTAGTCTAGGCAGTAAGTAAGACACTTCAATTTCAAAACAAAAAAAATGGGAACTTACCGTATTCATCCATTATATTCATGGATGCAATATTCTGGTGCTACCAAATATTGATGATCTTTTAGCAGAGAAGAAATGTCAGCAGCACACAACATGGGGTGCTTATCTACTTCAACTCGTGTCTTTGTCTATCAGCCCTCAGCTGAAGCCATAACCAATTGTTTCTTGATTCTAAGAAAGGTAATTTTGACCAGGTCTTCCTCGAAATATTTTAAGCAAGTGGTCAACAGTAGCTATCAGAAATACCTATCATTGATCTATAACATAAGCATAAGCAGAATTTCTATGTAATCCTAACAGCCAGCACTTTAAAAGTCTTTGGTGCTAATGTCAATGTTGTGTATTTTCTGGGATGAATCAAACCCTTCAATGACATGTACCCTCTCAAGTCAAAATGTTTCAAAACTGAGTGCCATGGTCCCACCATAACTCATTCAGAGTTTCTCAGTCTCTGGTGGGACATTTTCATCACCCACCCATGCCTTTCCTCTCCTTCCACACTTGGGGCTGTCCAAGACATCTGCTCATACCTAAATGTGGAACATGTTGCAGGAGCCATATCACACCTGTCCCTTAGACAGGTCCCAGCCACACCATAGCCTTTTGCACCCTCAGCAGAATGAAGGAGCAGTGGGAGTAAGGCCAGCCTTATTACACAAGAGCAGATTACATTGATAACATTAAGAGAAAACTAGATACTTTCAGTAGAAGTACTTTCATTTTTCTGTGGACATACCCACTTCACAGGATTTTTTTTTCTGACACTTAGAATTTAGAGCTAGGTCTAGAATAGTCTGTTACAGATGTTTGATGCTTTCACGAACTCATCAGGTGAAGGTATTTTTACAGGATAGCAAGCAAGAACTAGACAAAAGTTGTGAAGCAGTAATTCTGTTAAATGAATAGTGCTGAATAGACTAGCAACACCTAGCTCCAGCGCCAGACGCCGCCAGAGCTCGCTCCCTCTACCAGAGGCAGCTGCACCTGCTCTGGGGGCCCAAGGAGCGCGCGGGCCAGGGGCGGCCCCAGAGAGGAGGAGGCGGGCGAGGAGCGGATCTGCCAGGCCGTGTCGCGGCGGCGTCTCGCGGCGAGAATCAGGAGGAGGAGGAGAGGCAAGGATAGGCCCAGGAATAATGGAGTCCAAAGAAGAGCAAGCAGTAAAAAACCTCAACGAAGAAAATGCTGGTCAAGAAATGGAAGAAAAGAAGCAAGATGCTAATAAAAAGGAGCCACTGGCCCTGCCTTTGGAAGCTGGTGAATACTGTGTGCCTAGAGGAAATCGCAGGCGATTCCGTGTTAGGCAGCCCATCCTGCACTATAGATGGGACCTGATGCATAGGCTTGGAGAGCCTCAGGCAAGAGTGAGAGAAGAGAACAGGGAAAGGTTTGGGGAGGAAGTGAGACAGCTCATGGAAAAGCTGAGGGAAAGGCAGTTGAGTCATAGTCTGCGGGCAGTTAGCACTGACCCCCCTCACCATGACCACCATGATGAGTTTTGCCTTATGCCCTGAATCCTGGTGTTTTCCCCGAGGTTAATAGGGAGACCCCTGCTTCCTAAACTTACGTGTTTGTGAATGTACTGTTGTAAATCTTTTGATGTTTCTTGTTCCTTGTGGGTCTCCTATTCTAAATGAATGTTGTGTCTTTAACCCCGTCTAATATTTTTGTCAGCAGGGGAATTTTACCTATTGCATGGAAAGATGCTTAGTATATATTGTGAAGTTAATAAAGCAGTTTTAAAAAGCAAAAAAAAAAAAATGAATAGTGCTGTCTTTTTTGGTTGGACTGTGGTTTGAACTCGGGGCTTTAAGCTTGATTGTTTGAGCCAAACCTGTGAGTCATTTTGCTCTGGTTATTTTGGAGATCAGGTCTTGCAAATTATTTGCTCTTACTAGCCTCAAACCACAATTCTGATTTCAGCCTCCCAAGTAGGTAGAATTACGTGTGATCCACTAGTGTCCCGAGAATGTTCTGCTTTTTAAATGTGGGCTTATTTAGCTAATGTTTTAGAAACTCTCAATTGTGCTGATTGCCGACAAATGTTTAAAGCAAACACAATTTTAATCTCTTAAAATGGCTATATGAACCTTAAAATGCTGCAGAACCAGGCTCCAATGTATCTTCCTTAGAATGAGACAAGGCATCTTTCCTTTGCTTGCTTTGTGTACCTTTCACTAGACCTGCACTTCAAAACTTCCCAAAGACTGGCAGAGTGACAATTCTGCTTTCAGGTAAAGGCGGTTTTTTACAGCACTGCCTAATGATACATAAATAAACATATCATAAATGGTGTTAACCCATTTTACTTCCTAGTCTTAGTCTACCAGTTTTCTATACACTGCAGGGCCGAAAGATGAAATGCTTTTTTAAAAGTTGTGTATATTGAAAGTACCTGTATACTATCTGATGTTACCTGTAGTAACCTGTGAACTGGTGGCTCATGCCAGTAATCCTAGCAATTCAGGAGACAGAGATCAGGAGGATCATAGTTCAAAGTCAGTCTGGGAAAATATTTCTCCAGACCCTATCTCAGAAATATCCAACACAAAAACAGGGCTGGGGGTGGCTCAAGTGTTAGAGCACAAAGAAGAATGGAGACTCCACTGAGATTGATGAACAGAATCACCACAAAGAAAACTCTCAAATCCAAACAAACTAACAGGAATTAAAGTTCTTTATATTCTTGTGATGTTTTCACTGCTCTACCTGTCCTGGTCTCTATCTGAAAAGCTAATCATTCTTTTGTCTGCTGTAGCTTTAAATTTGTATGATTTTCAGTTGCTTAATCTTTTTTTTCTTGGCAGTACTGGGGTTTGAACTCAGGGCCTCACCCTTGCTAGGCAGGCACTCTACCACTACAGCCATCCTGCTGGCCCTGCTACTTTTTTTTTCTTTTATTCAATCATAGTAAGTTGCTTCCTCTAAGAACCTTTAATGCCGGTTGCATGAACTTATATCTTATGGATTTCTTCAGAATATTATATATTCCTTATTAATGTAATTTGATTTGTAGCTCCTAGTTAATTCGATCTTTGCTCTGATTTGATTTATATTGCCTGACTGATCAAATTTCTACTTGGCTGATCTCTCAAATAAAGGAGAAATTTCTTTGTTATTCATTTTTTTCTGAAATGTAACGTTGTACACATGGCACATGGTTGACACTTAACGTTCTTAGTTTGCAAAAATGAATAGATGAGCTGGACACCAGAGGCTCATACCTGCAATCCTAGCTACTTGGGAGGCTGAGATGAGGAGAATCCCAGTTCCAGGCCAGTCTGGCCAAATAGTTCTGCAGACCCAATCTCCAAAATAAGCAAAGCAAAATGAACTTGAGGTGTGGCTTAAGCAGTAGAGTGCTTGTTGCAAGTGTGAAGTCCTGAGTACACACCATAGGCCCACAAAAAAATTGAATAGGTCAAAATCAATTGTCTTCCCTTATAAAAATAATGAATGATTGGGTAGTGGAGATAAAATATGTTTTAAAATAGCATCAAAAATTAGTATGTGCTGCAGTTACTGAAGCAGTAAGGGTGACTTCCTTGCAAGCATGATGCCCTAAGTTCAAACCTAGTATCACCAAAACAAACAAACTAACAACAACAAAACAACTTCATATGCTCATGATAGAACACATGCAAAATTTGTACTCTGGAATTGATAAGACATTGATGAGCTCAAATGATGATGATCAATCAATGTAGGAATATACCAGCTTCATGAATTTGAAGGCTCAAAATTACTAGGTCAATTCTTCTAAATTTATATATACATTTGCTAGACACACAACCAATATCCCATTATGAATAGTTAAAAATTGACATGTGGTTTGTAAAAGTTATGTGAGAAGGAAAGGATGTAGAATAGCTAACAAATTTAGAAGAAGATGGACAATGTTGTACAGCACATACTACCTAATTCAAGGGTTAATATGAAGAAGCTTTAATCAAAATAGTGTGGTATTTGTATAAGGATGGGAATTTACATAAATGGAGCAATGTAGCATCCAGTAATGAACCAACACATAGATGGTCACCAGATTTGTGAATAAAGTTTGAAAGAAATTTAATGGGGAAGTGACAGCAATTGCAGCAATAATTGCTAGAATTATTGAGCACCTATATACCACAAGTGTCCACTCTAATTTTCACTGTATCCAATAATTCAAAATTTATAATAGGTAGAAAAGGCAAATCTTAGTAGGCATTTTGCTGCTTGAGACATACCCCCAGTCCATTTTGCCTGCATATTTTGGAAATGGGGATCTCATAAACTATTTGCCCAAGCTAGCTTTGAACCAAGATCCTCTTTATTTTAGCCTCCAAAGTACCTAGGATTACCGATATGAGCCACTAGTGTCTGGCTTCAGATTCGTTTTTTTTAAAGTAAGGAGAAACCAGTCATAACACATTGAACACATTAAGAGCTCATTTATTTGACTTCCTGGAAAAAGGTAAGACTAATAAAATGAGTGTGATCGATGACTATAAGTTAACTTCATCATATCACTAATTGCCAAGGCTGAACAGAGGGAAGGACTACAGTAAAGGAGCACTATACAACTTTTGAGGTGATGATGCAGGGTGGTTCTTTGGCTGGCCATGGAGGGACCCACTTCCAGCATTACCTGTCTTACTTGCATTTTTTGAATAAGCATAAAATGAGCTGAGAATACAGCATCTTGAGGTGAGAGGGGTCTGCATTGAACAAACCAGGCTTTGTTCCTCTCTTCCATAGAAGCAAGATTACCTTCAAAGGTTTCACAGTGAGTCATGTTTGTCTCACCAATAATGAAGTGGACACTTTCAAATGACATGATAACTATCCTTGACGGCTTTGAGGGTAGATGGAGCTTAGACTACTGTCTCAAAATTAACCCTAGAATTCTTTTTTCTCTTGCTGCCTATCTGTGTGTAATAGACTATTTCACATACGTGGTGTGTTTTGAGTGTGTTCTGTCTCATCACACTCAAGCAATTGGTACAACTATGTCCAAGGATGCAGTTAGATATGGGGTTTGGAACCCTGTTTCTGATTGTTGACACTGCAGTGACCTCTGCTATCTTCCACACAGTAGAAGTCTTCCATTGGAATTGGTATTAGTGAACGTATTGCACAAAATTGGTACAGTGAGTAGGGTCTGCTGTAAAAGAACCCTCAATTTCTGGAAAAGTAGGAGGACCAATTACCCTCCAATCCCCAGCCAAGGCCAGAGATTTTAGCTTAGGGAGAAAGGACTAAACATGGAATTGAAGGAGTTGCAGGGAAGGATGGGTGATAACAAGATCATGAAACACTTAACCCATCATAGATCTAAATGAACTGGCTGCAGGGACAAAGGCAGAGAGAAATGAAGGAGGAAGGAAAGGTAACAGTGTACCATCCCTTGTCATTGGACACTATTCTTTGTCCATGCCAGAGAGCTTGTCAAGTGTGTACTCAGATGTTCACTGAGGAATACAGAGTGTGAACATATGCAGTGTTGGCTTTCACAGATGAGGAAACTCACTGTCTAACAGATGGAGTAAGCCTACTGGACTCTCACGAAGCTTGGTTGATATGTTCATTTGATAAAGAGACATTGAAGACTGAACTGTCTCATGCTGAATGGTACATTTAGAAATGGAGCTAAGGACTCTAAGTCTACAATGACCCTTTACTCTTGTAATAATAAGAGGGACATTGGGCATGCTTTTTCATGTGGGTAGTCCCAGATAATGGATAGTCTGAGTAGATGGCTTGCTTGAGCTCTGTTTCTAAGGGCCAGTCTAGACAATGTAGGAAGATCCAATGTCTTGGGAAAAAAAAAGTAGGGTAATGGGCTCTTCTTAGTTTCTTGGATTCTAGGATCACATGAAGAAGTCTTGGGGTCTATTTAGGTGAAAAATTAAACTGATGATATTGGGAAGTTTGGGGACAAATATGGGAATCCTGAAGCTTATCTGTGTACAGTGTTTATCAAGTTGTGTGTGGGGCCCTTTGAGCATTTTAGGTGCCAACAACTGAGATTCCACTACTAAGTGCATTATAGGCATTGAAGGTTGGCTATTAGTGGCACAGAACATCAGTACTACATGAGAGGATATGCTGCCTAACACCTAGGCGGCTTATATACTACACAATAGTGTCATAATAGTGGGGTATCTACTACTGCCTGGTATCTAAGGTATCCAGCTCCCACTGGGCTATTCAACCAAAGGGAGCTTACACACTAAACAGAAAATAAAATATCACAGTAATCCCTTGGTATCAGCAAGTGCCATGGGTTAAAAAAAATCTGCAGATGCTGAAATCTCATATGAATGAACACATATGCATGTCCTCCTGTTTTAAAAATCCTTTGCAAATTATTTATAATATAATAATATAAAGTAAATGTTAAGTAATTAGTAATTGCCCTGTATTGTTTAGGATACAATGATAAAAAATTCTGCACATGTTGCAGTACTGGGGTCTCACACTTTTTAGGCATACTCTCAGCCATGAAAGCCATTTTCCATCTTGATATGCCCCTTGAATGTCAAATCCTTCCTTGCTATTGGACACAGATGTGAACTGACCTTCATATGGCCAAAAAGCACATGTGACTCTGCAACCTGAACTGTCCACTCTTTCTTGGGTTCTCACAAATCTGACCAATAAAATTGGAGAGCCTCCACAGGGTTTGATTATCAATTGGAAATAGTACATTCAAGGTTGTATCCAACTAGAATATCAGGTGACCAATAGGATCCATGAA